AGGCTGAGGCTGAGGCTGAAGCTGAGGCAGGCTGAGGCTGAGGCTGAGGCCGTGGCTGAGGCTGAGGCATGCTGCGGCTGGGGCTGAGGCTGAGGCTGAGGCTGAGGCAGGCTGGGGCTGAGGCAGGCTGAGGCTGAGGCTGAGGCTGAGGCAGGCTGAGGCTGAGGCTGAGGCTGAGGCCGAGGCAGGCTGAGGCTGAGGCCGAGGCGAACCGGGGCAGGCTGAGGCTGAGGCTGCAGCTGAGGCAGGCTGAGGCTGAGGCTGAGGCTGTGGCTGAGGCTGAGGCAAGCTGCGGCTGAGGCTGAGGCCGAGGCTGAGGCAGGCTGAGGCTGAGGCTGATGCAGGCTGAGGCTGAGAGGCTGACGCTGAGGCTGAGGCAGGCTGAGGCTGAGGCTGAGGCTGATGCTGAGGCTGTGGCTGTGGCTGAGGCTGAGGCAAGCTGCGGCTGAGGCAGGCTGACTCTGAGGCTGATGCAGGCTGAGGCTGAGGCAGGCTGAGGCTGAGGCTGATGCAGGCTGGGGCTGAGGCTGAGGCCGAGGCAGGCTGAGGCTGAGGCCGAGGCAAGCCGAGGCAGGCTGAGGCTGAGGCTGCGAGAACAGCAGGCTCCACTGAGGCTGTTCACTTGCTGAGGCTGGGAAGGCTTCCACTAGGCTGAGGCTGACATGGCAGGCTGGTTGCTTTGAGGCTGGGATTAGTATATTTGCAGTTTTCATTTCAAACAAGCAGATTCCAGGGAAAGGAACGCAACTCCGCTTGAAGAGTGCGCGGCCTGATCTCGCACGTGGTGCGTTGCATGCAGTTTTTGTAGTGCTTGGGAGAATGCGAAAAAATTGGTTATCGATATTTGTTTGGCTGTATTTGTAGCGTCTCATTCAGCGCAGGCAAATTCAAGGGGAAACGAACGCATCCCCGCTTGAAGAATCACGCCTTTATCTCGCAAGTGATGCTTTGCATGCCGTGTTTGGGTAGTTTTGGAATCCACTTGCGGCGTCTTGGGGGCCGTCTTGGAACCATCTTAGGCGCCGTCTTGGGATCCACCTGGGCTGTCTTGGAACCATCTTGGGGCCGCCTCCTGAGAGCCGCTTAGACCGTCTTGGAACCATCCCAGGGCGTCTTCGGGTTAAAGGGGCAGAAAGGCCACCATCAGTGGGCGCGCCAAGGACCCCTGGAGGGAGCTGCAAGAGACCCTGGAGAGAGCTCAGGAGAGTATCCAGGGGGGGAGCGTCCACCAATGCATCCAGGATGGGGCCCAGACATGGGACGACGAGTATATGTGATATCGTGAACGCTGAGGCTCACAACTGCATTATTCACATTCGGTGCTAACCCGCCGGTCGAGCGCGCGTGCTTCCCGGGAGGAACGCGTTCATCCACGTCTCAGATACGCAATGTGCGTCCCAGAGGTCTAGGTCAATGTCTCCTCCGCGGGCTTCACGTGCAGGCTCGGATGATTCGGGCGATGATTCTGTTTCTTTCGCATTCGAGGCCGAGAGCCTAGAGGGCCTGCGCGACTTCTACAGGAAGAACTGCTCCACCGATCCCATTGTTGCCAGCGTGCCGCGCGACGTGGGGGCCGCCGCCGCCGCCGAGTCCAACGACGCAACGCCGCGCGGCGCCGCGCGGCTCGCACTGCCGCGGGATGATTGTGGGTTCGGCGAAGCGGCGCGTCATCCTGGACAAATTCAACAAGGTGGATGTTCGGCAGAGTTCGGAGTCGCGCGGCCCGCCATATACGGGGCGCGAAGATCGGTCTCTATCCCGTCCTGAGGGCAGCATGCGAGATCACATCTTGAAATGCGACCTCGGCCGCGCGAGGGCTCGAAGATCTCGGGGGCGCTCGACGGGGAGAAGCCGTGGGGGGGCAGATTTGAGTTCATTCAGGCCTTGGCTGCGCTGGCGAATTATTTTTCTGGCGCAGTTCAGCGTTGCGCGCGCGTGGCCGGCAAGACCCTCATGCGCGTGGTGTGGTGCGCTGCTGCCGGCGATCGCTTCGAATATTGCATGAACAACCAGCGGTTTCGCCATTCGTTTTCCGCGGCGAAGCTGCGACTCCCGGGCTCGGGCGCGTCGCCCAACGAGGCATTTCGCAGCGGCGTCAACCGTTGGTCAGAAATTAACATGAAGTGCTTATACAGACCATCCGATTGCAACTCCAGGTGACTTTTCTCGCCTGTCTTTGAACGCGCAATACTGTTCTATATTCGCCTACTCTCAGACAGATGCGCCAAATTGACCTGCTGTTCCACAAAGTGGCGACGATGGCGATCTCGGGCGAAGAGTGGTCGGAATTCACTAGGCGCCCGCTTGAATTCCCTGTTGAAGCAGCGAAAGAGAAAACGCACCAGGCAATCGTGGAGCGCGCGCCGCAGGGCAAGGCGCAGGCCAAGAGGCCTCGCGAGCGCGCTGTCTTCACTTAAAAGCGGAAGCCGACGGCGGTGGCCCCGCCTGCGCGGGCGAGGGCCCCGCCTCGGAAGCGGCCAGCCGCGAGCCTTCACTGGGGTCCTCGCTCTGCCTCGCTTGTCGATCGCGCCGGCCGCCCGCCCTCAGTTCCGCAGTCGATTTCTGCCCCTTGATGAAAAGCTTGGAAACGACGCCTGCTCCTGAGAGTCTCTGGAAGCTTCTGAACGCATTTGGGGCTGCAGAAAACTTTTGAGGGCATCTGAAACCTTTGAGGGCGTTTGAGTGCTTCTGAGAGCCTCTGAGAGCCTGAGAGCTTCTGTGAGACTCTGAGAGCCTCGGAGAGCGGCTGACAGCTCCTCAAAACCTCCTGAGACGCCCTGAAAGCCTCTTTGAGCTTCTGTGAGCTTCTGAGAGCTTCTGAAGGACCATGAGGGCTTGTGCGAGCCATCTGAAAACTTCTGAAGGCCCCTGGAACCTTCTGAAAGCTTTCGAAGGCTTCCGAGAGCCCCTGGGAGTTCTTGAGAGCTTTTGCGAGACTCTGACAGAGGAAAAACTAGGAAACGACGCCTGCACCCTAAACGCACCCACCACATGATTGGGTACGTATATATATATATATATATATATATATATATATATATATATATATATGTGTGTGTATATATATACACACACAAGAGTGCAGTGGCGCTTCGCGCCATGCACCTTGGTCTATGAAGTTTGGCATGCAGGCGGAATGGCAGGAAAGTCAAGCCGACAATTTAGCGACAACTCTTGGTTGCCTTTTCCGGCATCGCCGCTATCATGATGTTATCCGTTATCTTTCCTCCATGCCTATTGTTCGTTATGTTCCCAAAGCCCAAGGTCCCGGAAATCCGTTTCTTTTTTTTTTGGGGGGGGGGTGATGGGTTTTCCCCCCGCCTGGGCTTATAAAATTATAGGAAGAGGAATATGTTTATATTCAATATAATATAAGCAACTACGCCGGGCCCCCTCCCGGGGCGTCCTCCACCTCGCTCACATCTGGATTTCGCTCCCGGTACCGCGCTTCCCGGCCTCCTGGGGAACCCCAAAAATGCCCGGAGACAACCCAAAACGACCCCGCGAAACCCCCAGAACGTAAAAGACAGGCCCAAGACGCTCCCAAGCAACCCAGGACCGCTTTCGGGCGGCTCTCCAGGCTCCCAGGAGGCCTCCACGAGACCTCAAGAGAGCTCTGAGTGGCCTCCCGAGAGCGCCTGGAGAACCTAACATCGTTCATTTTCATGTTTTTTGTTTCAGGGTTTTTGGTCTTCTCACCATTTCGTGCTTCCAACGCTCCACCACGGCCGACGAGGCCCCAAGACCGCTCCAAGACCGCCCAAGAGACTCCCAAGACGGTCCAGGACGGGCCAAGACGGCCCCAAGATTGCCGAATAGGCGCTCAGGACAGCTCCAGACCACTCCAGAACAGACCCAAGATGAGCCCACGAGCGGAAGCAGGAGGCCTCCAGAGACCTCCGAGAGGATTCCGGGACCTCCCAGAGGCCTCCGCCACGCCCCAGACCCCTTTGAGAGGCCCCCAAGAAAGCCCCGACGAGGCCCCCAAAACAGCCCAAGAGAGCTTCGAGAGCCGTCCCGAGAGAGCCCGAAGAGGGTAAAATCGTTGATTTCCAGAAGTTTTTGTCGACGTTTTCCGCCTCCTCCCGTTTTCCCGTTTTCAGCGCTCCAAGACCGAGGAATTTGGAAAAAAACGAAATGCCAGATATTATTTTTTTTCAAGTTGGGACTCCTACTCCCTATCCTATTCCTCGAGCCCCATCAAGACTTCAGAGTCGCATGTAAAGATGTTTCGGGAGTATTGTTGAACTTTCTGATGCTGTCTTGGCGCTCTCATGGATCGTCTTCGCGTCCTTATTTTTGCACGAAGACCCGAGAGGCAACCCGACGGACCGTGGCCTGTATCCAGAACACTTCTAGCCCACAGCCCAGGCACGGCAACTTGGAAAAATGGATATCTTACAAGTCTTTTTTTTCAAGTGCGTCCCCTGTCTACTCTTGCACAACGGACCACAATTAAGCCCCCCTCAGCTCCCAGAAAAGAGACCAGGAAACTTTTGAGGGCCCCAAATCGTTGAATACCCAACAGAAATCAATGATTTCCGTGTTTCGGCAGTTCCCCTCCTATACGGTTCCGAGGCTTGCGCAGGGCCTCCAAGAGAGTCCCTGGATGCAAGAAGCGACAGACATGATATTCCATGTTTTAGCCCGTCAAGCCTAGCTAGAACTTGAACGCGCCGCAGCGCGCGCGATGGTTCTAGTATATATATATATACCCGTGCTTATCTTAATGTATATATATATATATATATATATATATATATATATATATATGCACAGGTGTTTCCGTGGGGGACGCCACGCATACATGATTTTTTCTACGTACGTACATGCATGTATATATATGTACATGAATTCATGCGCACACACACACATATATATATTGCAATGGCGTGCCATAGATTCTTTGTTGCGTGTGGGAAGCGGGAGAGGGCCGCTGACACGTGTGCTCAAGCCTTTCTTCCAGCGAGCTGGGGGCACCTGTCCAGGCAGAATCGCGGATGGTTGGCAGACCCTTCGTGCGGCTCCTGGGCGCAGCTACCAACCTGCTGGCGGCCTGGATATCGCGAGCGCCGCCGTGTCCTGCGGCGCCTACTTGTCCTTCTTCGCCGGCGTGCCCGTCGGAGTCGTGCCCCAACCTCTCGAGCGCCGACCACGACGTGTACGAGGAGCGGTACGGTCAGGGGAACCCAGACATAGTCGCCGTGGTCTTCAGCCCGACGCGCCAGGCGCTGCAGGGTGTGGACCCGAATCTGCTGTGCAGGTTCAGGCGTGAGCCGAACGCGAGGGAGACGGTCGCTATCCAGGACGCTCTCGTGCAGGTAGCCGACCAGCTGTACTTGGACCGCGAGCGCGCTGCTGGCAAGCCGCGCACGCTTCCCGCTGGTGGCTCATACCTGGAGTTCGACTTCACCGCAGCCGCCCCTGGACCAGGCGTTCCTGGCGCAGGCCCCGCCGCTCTCGCGCCCGCGGCGGGAGCCGCCGCCGGAGCAGCGCCTGCCGCGCCTCTGGTGAGCGTGGCCGGGGCCGGCGCCGTCGCCGCCCCTGCTGCAGGTCCCCTGGCGGCCGCCGCCGTGCCGGCCGCAGGCGCCCCAGCGGGCGCCGCCGGCGCAGCGCCGCCGGCCGCGGCAGGGGTGGTTGGGCCGCCCGCTGAGCTGGCCCCAGTGTGGGTGCTCATCGAGAGCACGGGTGGTGGCAGTCGTGGCGATGTTGTCCTGCTCAACGGGACCGAGCGGATCGAAGGTGACATCGGCCTCCTGAAGCTGAACGCAGGCTGGGTTGCCATCCGTCGGATCTCGATGGACCCATCGGTGTACCGATGCGCGGAGAGCGGGGCGGACATCAGGCTGGTGGGCGTACCACCTCGACCCGACGGCTCCAGGCAGCGACTGGCTTGGCGTGAGGCTGTGCCGATGATGGTAGATAATCCCATCCCGGGGCGGCTGCTCGACGGACCTCGGACCATGCTCTGGTGCGCGCAATTCATCGACAGGAAGCGGAACGGCCCCGTGGAGCACTACAACAGCTTCGTTGCCTTCTATCATCTCACGAAGGAGGACTACGAGGTCGCCCATTATGAGATCATAATGAACATGATCGAACATCTCGGGTGCTGGGATCAGTTGAATGTTCCCGACTTGGTCGGGGCGGAGCTGGCCACTCGCCAGGCACAGCTGTGCGAGTGCATCTACTCCATGGAGTTCGAGGCGCGGCAGTCGAAGGGCTCCAAGGACGGCGACGAGGGCGACGGCAAGAAGAGGGGCCGAGGTCGGGGAGGAGGGCTCCACCGATTCGGCATCGTGGACGAGGCGGCGGTGTTCACAGGGGCGGCCAAGGAGGATGGCCGTTCCATGATATGCCCGCTGCTGCTGGAGCATGTCTCCAAACAGGTGGAGCGCGACGCGGGGATCCTGAAGCAGATCAGGAAAGCCCGTGAAGAGCGTCGCGCTCTGTCATCATGAGCGACGCGGACGGCTCTCGGGCACCCCTCGCCCGAGAGTCAGCCAGGCCGAGAGAGGGGGCGCCCGTGGGCCTCGCGGGCGCAGCAGATCTACCTGTACATGAGGCTTCCCACTCCAGCGCCGACCTTCGCCAACGTGATCTCTTTCCTTTACCTTACTTTGGCGCTGGAGCTTCTTCTCCTACTACGTCCTCCCCGCCTTCAAGGTCAGTGCGCGGGCGCCTTGAGAAGCGGTCGCACGTTCACGGCATGGTCGAGGAGATGACCGACGCGCTGAACGACCTGTGGGGCTGCCCGCCCGTGGCGCGCCGTCAAGCGCCCGCTGGCATGCCGGTGCCTGCCGCTGGCCACGCCCTCGTCCTCTCGGAGCTCCGACAAGCCGCTGTGAGGTTTGGCCCGTGCCCAGAGGGCTTGGGCGGTCCAGGAGCCCTCGAGGAGCTCCGGATATCTCAATCATACGAGGGTGACGCCACGTTGGTTGCCCCGGTGAGTTTCGACCTCGTCGACTCCATCTCCCTGCCTCCTGCCGGCAGCCAGCCCGCCGCCCTGGAGGCTATCGACGAGATGGCAGGCCAGAACATCGCTCGCCGGCTGAAAGAGTTACTCTTGCCCCAACAGCTGGGGGTGGAGCGCATCAAGGAAGTGGGTCCGAGACGGCTCTACACGGACCCTGCCCTTCGCAACCCGCGCCTCTATAAAATGGTGGTGCGGCGGCTTATGAGCGCCGGGCTGGTGGACTTCTGCAGCTCGGCGGAGTGTTACGTTGGCATGTTTTTCGTACGCAAGAAGAACGGGTCGCTGCGGATGATCCTCGACGGGAGGCACGCTTCGCTTCGGTTTGCGCCCGCAGACCCCGTGGAGCTGGCGACGGGCTCGGCGTTCGCCCAGATCTCGGTCGACGGCGACGAGCCCATCAGCATCGGGGGGGTCGACATCTGCGACGCGTTCTACCAGATCGAGCTCCCACAGTGGCTGCGCCGCTACTTCGGGCTGCCCAAGGTGAGGGCTGGCGACCTCGGGCTGGTGAACCTGTCCGACGGCGCGCCCGTGAGACCCTCGGCCTGGGTGGTACCGTGCTTTCGGTGCCCGCCGATGGGCTGGAGCATCAGCCTATGGATATGCCAGAGCCTGAACGAGGCGGTGACCGCCCGAGCGCTCCCTGGCCATTTTGGCCGTCGACTTGTGGACCGTCGGCCCGCGCCTGACCTGCAGCAGGGAATGGCGCACACGGTCTACGTCGACAACTTCATCGCCCTGTCCCACAGGCTGCGCGAGGTGCGTGATGCAGCTACTGCAGTACAGGGGGAGCTGACTGCTTCAGACCTTCCCTCGCACCCCGTGGAGGCATCAGTCGGCGGGGGCGCGCTGGGCTGGCACTTTGACGAGGACAAGCCCGTGATCGGCCTCAGCGTTCGGCTACGCTGGCGGCTCCGCCTCGGCATCGGCGAGCTGCTGGAGCAAGGCTGGTGCAGCGGTCACACCATGATGAAGGTGATATCGCACTTCACTTCGAGGGCGCTAATTCGTCGAGAGCTGCTGAGCTGCCTAGGGGCCGTGTACGGCTTCATGGGCGACGGCGGCCGCGAGAGGCGGCGGCTGACGCCGGCAGTGAGACGGGAACTGGCTTGGTGCCGCGCACTGCTGCCTTTGTGTTTTCGAGACGCCGGGCGGCCCTTGTCGCCTGTCGTGTCCTGTGTGGACGCCTCGTGGTGGGGCGCTGGTGTGACAGAGAAGACCATCACCTCAGACCAAGCTCGTCGTTTGTCTATCTTCAACGAACGATGGAGGTTCAGTCGGGATGGCGAGCAACAGGTTGCCCCTCGCGACAAGGCCTTAGCCTCGGAGAGCAAGCAAGCTCAGCGTATCACCTCGTCATGCTTCAAGCAAGCCTCGTCGGAGCCCTACCGCGATCCAGCAGTCATAGCAGCAGCCATGGAGCAGCAGGTCCCGTTCCGAGTCGAGCCGAAGCCGAATCAGGGGGAGGAAATCACGTTCGAGGAGGTGCCCGAGGAGGTCTGGGCGGAAGGATGGCGTCGGGTTCTATCTACACCGTGGACCAGGAGGGAGGCTCAGGTGGTGCTGGAGGGGAGAGCCTTAGTCTTGTGTCTGAAACATCGATTGCGAGCCACTCGAAACTTCAACACCACGCACATCATCTTGAATGACTCCATGGCCCCAGTGTTGGCCCTTCTCAAGGGCAGATCATCGTCGCCCCCGCTTTTGAGAATCTGTCGTCAGGCATGTGCTCTTCTGTTGGCTTCTGGTTCATCTGCTATCTGGCGTTGGGTCCCATCAGAACATAACAGCGCAGATCCAGCGTCTCGTGACCAGGCTGGTGACACCCCCGAGGCCGTGCGGATCAAGACATCGAAGCTCGACGCGTCCTGCCCGCCCGCCCAGGCGCTGGGCCTCGGGGAGGATGACGGCGGCAATGCTGGTGTCGGTCCTCGACGACAGGGCGGCCCCTGCCGCGCCGGCGATGCGGGCTCGCAGGAGGCCGACTGCGGCTGCGGGTGCTGTGGGTGCTCGCCAGCTGCAGGGCAGGCCGCATGCAGCGCCGGAGACTGCAGCGCGCCCAGCCGAGGGCGACCGCTGGGCGGGCCGTCAGCGGGGGGAGGCGAACCTCTTTCCTTTCCTCCCGGCTGCGGCCCCCCGCCAGGGCTTGACCCTCCTGGAGGAGTTCCTGGACGGGGGCAAGAGCAGCGCCGTGTGGATACTGATGGCGGCCTTTGCCTTCGTGCGTCCGACCCTCGGGCGGCGGCAGTGGCGCCAGCTGTGGGCGGCACGGGCAGCCAAGACCTGGTCATGCCTGGCGCCGCCGCGGCCGCGGCTGACGCTCTCACGGCCTGTGGTGTGCCTCATCGTGGTGACGTTGTGCTGCGGGGGCCTGGAGGAGTACGCTTGGCCCACCGCGCCCACGGTCGACCTGTGCCCGAGGCCGCGCGAGGCGCTGGATTTCGTGCAGTCGCAGCTCATCCCGCCAAGGCTCACCGCTGCCGAGGCGCTGCACCAGTGGTGCATGGTCCTCCAGCCGTCCGACATGCAGACCCCATCCATGACAGACGTGCTCGACGAGACCCTGCGGGCGGGCTTCACCCGTTCCCCGAGGGCGCCACGACCCGAGCAGGAGCCGCACCACCGGACGCCCGGTGGCCACCGCCCTTTGCCGGTGGCCCAGGCGCAGTGGAGCGGCCACGTCAAGGCCGTCTTGGCCGGGCTCGGCCTGCAGGTCTGGAGCAGCCTGATGCACGGGCACAATGGCGCAAGCCACGAGCTGTTCGCGGCGGCGCGGCCTCTGCGGGACATCCGCATGCGCGCCAGGTGGTCGACCGACGCCGCGCTTCAATGCTACGCCGAGGGGAGGCAGGTGCAGGAGCATCTTCGCGGGCTGCCGCGCGCCCTGCCGCTAAGTGCCGAGCAGGCGCTCCGCGGGCCTGGCGCCACCCCGTCGGCGAGCTGGCATCGTGGGTGAGACATTCCAGATCCGGCGTCTTCCTGGAGGTCTTCAGCGGCTCGGGGCGGATGGCGGCAGCGTGGCGCCTGCGTTTCCATTCGCAGCATGCCGCTTTCGAGCTGGACATCCGCCACGACGCCGACAGCGACCTCCTCCTCAGGCGGATCAGGCAGCTGGTTCGAGGCTGGGTGCGGAGTCGGCTCATCGTCGCGATCTGGATTGCGACGCCCTGCCAGTCCATGAGCCGCGCCCGCAACCGCCCCAACGGGCCACCACCCTTGCGGACGGCTTTGTTTCCGCTGGGGCTGCCAGGCCTGTCGCCAGGAGATCAGCTCAAGGTCGAGAGAGGAAACGCACTTGCCACTTTCAGCTTCTCTCTTTTCTTGCTTGCCCGCAGTTTAAACATACCAGTGGTGATTGAGAATCCCAGCGCATCCTGGTTGTGGCAGCTTCCAGGTGCGCGCAGTCTCATTCGAATTCGTAACACTCGTATTGTGGACTTTGATTTCTGTGCGTTCTCGACCCCTTGGCGCAAACGCACTCGGCTGCTGTACTGCCATCTCAACCTCGACCCGCTCATCCCCTATAAATGCTCGGGTCGTGGGGTCTGCAGTTTTAGCCGCCGCCCCCATCAGGTCCTCGAGGGCAAAGATGCCTCAGGCATTTTCTGGACGCACATCGCAGAACCGTACCCAAAAGATTTTTGCAGGCTGGTAGCTAAGTGTTTCCAACAGGCTCCGCGAAACCATTCGTTTCTGAGCCTGGACAGGTTTGTGGAGGCCTAAGGCCAGGGTTTTAAAATTCGCTGGTGCTCGAGTTTTCAAGGTTTCGGACTGTGATTGTCTCGGGCCACGGTTTCCTTGGTCGAGGGGCCTCGCCCGTTCAGTCAACGTTTCACGGAGCTCCGGGACGAGTCATCACACAGAGTTGCGGATGCAAAACAAGTCTGGCCCTCGGGAGTCTCCCCAGCTTACACAGATTGCAATGGCGTGCCATAGATTCTTTGTTGCGTGTGGGACGCGGGAGAGGGCCGCTGACACGTGTGCTCAAGCCTCCCGCCCACGCTGCGCTCCCATCCCATTTTCAGCTCGAGCAGTGTCCAGTGGACTGTGATTGTCTCGGGCCACGGTTTCCTTGGTCGAGGGGCCTCGCCCGTTCAGTCAACGTTTCACGGAGCTCCGGGACGAGTCATCACACAGAGTTGCGGATGCAAAACAAGTCTGGCCCTCGGGAGTCTCCCCAGCTTACACAGATAAATATATATATATATATATTTATTTATTTCTGGCCACGTATGCACACATGCACATTTATATCAAAGTGAGGGGGCCGACCGGTCATTCACTGTCCCTGGCTGCGTGGCTGAAGTTGGATGCCGCGATCCGGATTATTATTGTTGTTGTTTGTTTGGTTGTTTTTGTTGTTGTTGTTTTTGTTTTTGTTGTTGATTTTGATGTTGTTGTTGCTGCTGCTGTTGTTGTTTGGCGTCGTCCCCCCCGCGACCCACCCGCGACCCGGTTCGCGACCCACCCGCGACCCACCCCGCGACCCACCCCGCGACCCACCCCGCCTACCACCCCGCGACCCGCCCGCGACCCGCCCGCGACCCGCCCGCGACCCACCCGCGACCCACCCGCGACCCTCCTGCGACCTAACAACAAAATCGGCGCCTGCGGCGGGCTTGTTGTATAGCTTGAAAGATTCTGCGCCTACGGCGGGATTTTGCAGAGCCTCGCAGACTGCCAACGTCCCCGCCGCCCCCTCACTCTTATCCGCAACAGCGGGGTGCTACGTCTATCGTATAGTATTCAGTGGTGTCGACAGATCGAATGACAGTGGGCCGTAATCGTCATCCATCATCTACTGACGTGTATAGACTATATGTGTGTGTATATATATATACACATATAATATATATATATATATATATAATATATATATATATATATATATATATATATATATATATTATATATATATATATATATATATATATATATATATATATATATACATATATATAATATATATATATATATATATATATATATATATATATATATATATATATATATCCAGCTGCCTACGGCAAGTCCCGCCACGGTGCCTGGATTGGGTGTGAAGTCTATTGGATGTTCGTTGGGATCTCGTGGGAGGCCTCTCGGGTCCTCTTGGAAGCAGTTTCGAGGCCTCTCAGGGGCCGTTTTGGGGCTTCCTGGGAACTCTTTTGGGATTCTTTGGGGCCTCTCGGCTCCTCTTGGGGGCCTCTTGCAGGCTCTTGGGGCCTCGTGGGCGCGTCTTGGGGCCTCCTGGGGGCCTCTTGGGTCAGAAGGCTCGGATTTGCGGTTCGTGTTCCTTTCTTGGGCCCCATTTGGGGCCGTCTTGGGACCCTTTTGGGCAGTCTTGGGTGCCTCTTGGGCCGTCTTGGGGCGCTCTTAGGCCGTTTTGGGGCTCTCATGGAGGCCACTTTGGCCGTTTTGGGTTTTGTGGTGGTTTTGGGGGCCTCTGCAGAAAAAGCGGGAACGCCCAAACCCTTCAAAACCCAACGGACAATTTATGATTTTTGCCTCTTGGGGTCCTCTTTGGAGGGCTTTTGGAGGCCTCTTGGAGGCCTCTTGGGGCGTCTTGGATGCTTCTTGGGCCATCTTGAGGCTATCTTTGAAGTCTTCGAGCGATTGCTCGACGACTCGTGGCCTTCTTGGACCGTCTCGGGGGCTTCTTGGGCCGTCATGGAAGCTTTGGAGAGCACCAGGGAGGCGCCAGGGCCGCCCAAGGACCCCCTGGAAATGGAGGCGTTTCAGTCAGGTGGACGCTTCCTGCGGAGGGGGGGACCCTTGGCAGGCAGCCCTTGGCATTCTTCCACGCCTTAACGTGCCGCAGTCACGGCTTCTGTTTTGCTTGTTATTTTCTTTCTTTCTTTGTCTCTCTCTCTCTCTCTATATATATATACACATATCTATCAATATGTGTGTGTGTGCATCTATCCATAGTTACACACGTCTACGTAGTTTGGTTACGCACGCTCACGAACACATGTGCGTAAACACAGACTTACGCACGTATGAACGCGACTTGACAATTTCACAAGGCGTGTTGCTGTCCGCCCTGCACCAGCACAAGACGTCGTCGATCCCAGATGTTTTGATGCCTCTGCTTTATTCAAGAGGCTTGCGCCATTCCGCCAATCCACAAAAGAGGTGTGGAGTCCACGAATGAGGCGATGTGGGCTTCTTGGGCCCTACGTGGGCATTCTTATGAGCGTCTTGGGAGCTGTTTTGGGACCTTGGGGCTTACACCTCTGATTTTCGGTTCGCGTTCTCCCTCTTCGCCTTTCTTGGGGCCCTCTTGGGGCGATCTTTGGCCGGTACCTCTTTGTGCCGTCTTGGAACTCTCTTGGGCCGTCCTGGGTTCCTCGTGGGGGGCTTTGGGTCAGTTCTGGGGCGGTCTACGGGGCCTCTGGGGCCGTCTTGGAGCGTCGGAAGCCCGAGAAGACGATAACCCCAGAAGCAACGACAAACCCAAGGAAAACCATTGATTTTTGCCTCTCGGGGCCCTTTGGGGAAGGCTCATGGGGCGTCTCGAGAGCGTCTTGGGGCGTCTTGGAGCCATCTCCCTGGGGGAGGGGGGCAGCCACTCATCTCACACGCCTTCTCACCCCCGGCAAGCGGGGGTCGGCGGATCACTCACATGCCCAGAGCGTCTTTTGAATCTCGAGATACCAGTTGACTTGGGCTCGCTCTCGCGCGCAAGAATGTGCGTGCTTTTTCGCAAAGGTGCTGCGCGCATAGTTACTTCCAGCGTGTGTAGATTCGGCACAGCGGAGGGAGGGGATGATACGGTAGTCTCGCGTCGTGTCGATGCGCGGCGACCCCATCGCGCGGGCGCTCAAGGTTGAACGCCGACGGTGGCCCTGAATCGGCCCAGCTATTGGAAAGCAGTGATCGTTCAAGGTTGACTGATCCGCGCGGCGTCAGAAACCAACGCGCACGTCGGCACGACACAAATCTGCCGTAGCCTCTTCCCAGGCGCTAGTCCGATCCGATCGATCCGATTTGATAACGCGTCAGGCCGGCCTGAGCCGATTCGATTCTGATATTCCGACGACCCGATGCAGGCCGATGCTTGCATGGATGGCGCTGTCTTCCATCCTGGCGCAGCCGACTCGGTTAGAGTTCGACTTTGTGCCGATGCAGTCCGAGCCGACATGCCTTTCTATTTGACTTTCCCCATTCGATGCTGACTGTTCCTACCTCTCCCCCCCTCTCTCCGAGTCTTTTTTCGGCCAAGACATGTTGGAGTACATACACAAACTTCATGGCCTCGTTCGCTCGCCTGTGCTGCGCTGCGCTCTTCGTGCCGAGAGCCTGCCCTTTGCTGCTCCAGGGACTGCCTGCAGGCGTTCACGACGAAGCCGCCGAGGACTACCGCCTTGTTCACGGGGGCCCTGGGCTGACTAGTCCGGAGAGCATTATCTCGAACAGGACAAACACCAGAAGCAGAAAGTTTGGAAGGCTCGCGCAGAGTTTTTGGATCTGCGCTGGACTCCCGCGTGCCAGGGAGGGGGAAGGTCCAACGCCGATCCATAGATTTGCCTGGACCTTCCAAGCATTCTGTTTGTGCAGCGTTTTCTTGTTTACTGTCGATGAATACCTGACTCAGCATGGGGCCGATGCGTTTCGGAGAGAATTCGAGGCCAACAAGACGATGGTTTGCGAGCGGCACTTCGTCTCGCAGGTCTGCACCGCGCCCCCGAGGTTCGGCAACGAGATGGGGGAGTTTGTGAACGCGTTCGGGTTTGCCGTCGTCGCAAACAGGACGTTTGTTCTGGCAGCAGACACTTGCTCTACTTACCTGGACTTCTCAGGGCGGATCCTCCGAGACAGTGACGTGCAGGCGATGACAAGCGAGGCGGGGTGCAAGATCGGCTTCCCGAAGCTGCTGATCAAGCACGGAGAGCCTCTGAGAAAGCAGCCAATCGACAGCGCCGCTCCAGATGCCTGGGCGTCCGAGCGCCACGTGATGACGCGCTTCTGGCACGAGGAGGTCGCACATCGGGTCCTCGCGAACGAGCAGCTCGGCGCAGAGGCCCAGGGCCACGGGCAAAGTGCGGTGCGGGTGTGGCCGACCCTGCGAAGGGCCCCATGCTCCCCCCCCCTCCCCCCCCCCCTCCTGCTCTCCCCCCATCCTGCTCCCTCTCTCCCCCGCCCTGCTCCGCCTCCTTCCCCCTCCCCCTCCCCCTCCTGCTCCTCCCCCTCTCCCGCCCCCTCTTCCTCTCATCGCTGCTACTCCCCCACTGACTTCCTTCTCCTCCTCCTCCCCCCACCTCCTCCTAACCCTCCTCCCCAATTGGCTCGGGTTGGGTGGGTGGGCTGGTGGCCAGATGTCTTCGAGACGGCCCACGCTTCTGGTCCGATTGCCTCGGATGGGCCAAGGCAGGCTTCAAGATCCTCCTAGTCGGCCCAAGAGTTTCTGGTCTGACCGAAGACGGGCCGAAGGATGGATGCCCCACGGTCTCCAGTGTGACCCCAACAGGCTCCACAACTACAGTGGGGGCGCGCATCAAGAAACCATGTGCTTTTCGTCAGGGTATCCTGGGTTGCTTCGCTCCGCCCGCTGCGCGGTGACTTCCCGCAGCCGTTAAAGAAGCTGCTGCGCTCAGGGCGCTCCCGGATTCCTCTCAGGCGCACCTCGCGCGCGGGTTTTCAGGGTTGGGTTCATTACGAGGGTTTCTTGCGGCCGCGCCCTCACTGTAGATGATGTCAACCCGAAGTGCCTTCAAGACGCCCACAAATCGGAGGTTGATAGACCTCCTACCCTGACACGTCGATTAGTGAACTGGCCGTTTTCGGTTCGCGAGAGGGCGTCGCGGCCGTCATTTTTGCGGGTCCTCCAGGTCCGTCGGTTTCGGTCCCATGCCGTTTTCACTAAGGGGAGGTGTACTAAAGGGAGGTTTGTTCACCGCCAAACAAAGGAAGGCTCCCCCGACGGCCCCGTGGAGCCCTCCAGGAGGGCCCCGAGAGGCACGAGAGGCGAATACACCTCCCTGCAAGCATTGCACGTCTTCGCGGAGGGCGCCCTACTGAAAGACAAGCGCCCCGCAGGCGTGCCATTCAGGCGGGAGCCTTCTTTTGAGAAGGGCCGTCCTCTTCCCTTCCAGCTCCAAGAAATGCCAATGACGCGATCAGACAGTCCAAGGCAGTGTCCAGCGAGTTCTTTGTTGTTTGCTGTTGCGTTTTTTTTTGTCGAGAAGCCGCCGCCCTCCGTCCGTACAGATCGTGCTCGCTTCACGTCTGGCCGTAGAGCCGGATGACGTCTCAAGTGGTTCATGAGCATAGGAGGGAGAGGAGGAAGAGACGGAGAAAGATGAAAGAGAGGGAGGAGGAGGAGGAGGAGGAGGAGGAGGAGGAGGAGGAGGAGGAGGAGGAGGAGGAGGAGGAGAAGGAGAAGGAGGAGGAGGAGGAGGAGGAGGAGGAGGAGGAGGAGGAGGAGAACCGTGTTGCGCCTTTGTAGCCGTTGTGTATCTTCCTGGTCGGTCATTCCCGGGGGGATCACGAGCAGGAGCCCTGCTTCGAAAACGGGCCGCCCACCATCGGTCTGTAGGTGTTGGGAACTCTTTGACACAAGCGTGCACGGTGCTCGGGCGAGAGTCACACCCGGAGGTCCGGCCGCCCTCCACCCGCGCAGCGGAGCTGTGCGCCGCGCCGAGGCGCAAACACGCTCTGAAAACGACCTTTAAAGGCGTGAAGCCTCAGGACTATTGCGGGCCCAGAGGCTGGAGGTTATCCAATGTCTGCGGCAAACCCCGCCACTGCGCCTGTGCAGCAGCGCAGCAGGAAGGAGGCTGAGTGTAAGGGCAGCGCAGTTCGACGAGAGGTCTGAATTGGGACGGGACATGAACTCGACCTCGTCTTCGTCCGCGCGGTAGGGAGGATGAGGAGAATGAGAACATGACGACGAGGAGGAGAAGGCTTCTTGGGGCTCTCTTGGGGCCTCTTGGCAGCCTCCTGAGGACCTCTTGGAGCCTCTTGGGATTCTTTGGGCCGTCTTCGGGGTCTATTGGCCCGTCTGACGCCTTCGGAGGCCGTCGTGGAGGCCTCTCTGGGCTGTCTTGGTGCAGTCTTGGAGCGCTTCGGAGCTGTCTTGGTGCCCTCTTGGGTCCCCCCTGGGCGATCTTTGGGTCCTCGTGGGCCGACTTGGGCCCTCTTTGGGGCCTCTTGGTTTGTCTTGGAACTATCTTAGAGGCCTCTTGGAGGCTTCTTGGGCCGTCTTAGGCGGTCGGAAATTCAAACATGCGAGAACCTCACAATCTTTCAAAAACCCGAGGAAATCAATGATTTGGGCTTCCTCGGGCTCTCCAGGTTATTGAAGCCCTCTTGGGCCGTCTTGGGGGCCTCTTGACCTGCTTTGAGGCCGTCTTGGGGGCCTCTTGAGGCGTCTTGGGCCATCTTCGGCCGTCTTGGTGTCATCTTGGCTGCTTTAGAAGCCGTCGTGGAGGCCATCTTGGCCTTCTGGAGGCCGGAAACACATTCAGAAAGCAAATTGGAGAGGGGCGATCTTAGAGGGACGCGTGCCGTCCAGGGGGGGTCGGCCCTAGAAATTCGAGACAACATCCCAGACAACAGGCGAGCATTCTAACACGCACCAACGGGCAGAATTCCCCACGGCGGATATTTTTTTTAACGACTTGCCTTCAATCCGTTTAAGTATGCGCATTTTGGCTTCATATTCATGATCATAAGTTGTGATGAGGGCTCAGGCGAAATACCAGCTCCGACCTACCCGCCCACACGTTTGGGCGGGGATGAGCTGTTCGTGAGGGCAAGGAGGAGAAGGAGGAGGAGGAGGAAGAGGAGGAGGAGGAGGAGGAGATGGATAAGAAGGCAATGGCGCGCGATTTTCTCAACTAGAACTTGGGTGCGCACGACACGCGAATACCTCTAGGATGTATCGCAGACGCCTCTGGCGAGACACGGTCGCCCCTTGTGGCCAAACAGCTTAGGTTGGGTCCGTCTTGGAGCTCTCTGGGGCCGCCTTGGGCCCCTGCAGGCCGTCTTGGTGGCCTCGTAGGGCCGTCTTTGGCACTCCTGGGGCCCTCTTGGCTTGATGATTATGATGGAGATGATTATGATGATGATGATGATGATGATGATGATGATGATGCTGATGATGATGATGATGATCATGAGGATGATGATGATCATGATGATGATGATGATGATCATGATGTTGACGAAGATGATGAAGATGACGAATGTGGTGGTGATGACGATGCATGTGACGAGGGCGATGATGAAGATGATGATGATGATGATGATGATGATGATGATGATGATGATGTTGGTGGTGATGACGATGCATGTGGTGATGGCGATGATGAGGTTGATGATGATGATGCTGATGCTGACGCTGATGATGATGATGATGATGAATGTGGCGACGATGATGACGACGGCGATGACGATGATACTGCTGATGGAGATGATGATGACGATGGTACTAATGATGAAGATGATGCTGATGCTGAACATGGTGAATGTGACGAGGATGATGATTCTGCAGAAGCAGAAGCTGATGATGATGAACACTGTAACGACGGCGGTGATCATGTTGAGGACAATGATGATGATCATGATGATGATGATGCTGATTCTGATCATGATGATCATGATAATCATGATCAATGTGTCGACGACGACGACGGCGATGATCATGATGATGGAGAAGAAGGTGATGCTGATGATGAGGACGACGGATGTGACGACGACCACGACGACTATGGTGATGATGATGAAGACGATCATGATGTGTTGCGACGACGATGATGATGTTGATGCTGAGGCGAAGGAGATGCTGATTGTGATGATGAATGTGATGATGACGATGACGACGACGATAATGATGATGAGTAAGACGATGATGGTGGCGATGATGATGATGATGTTAATTATGAGCATGGTGATGATGATGCTGCTGACGATAATGATTGTGATGATGCTAATGATGCTGCTGCTGCTGCTGATGATGATGATGATGATGAGTGTGACGACGACGTCGACGATGATCATGATGCTGATGCTGATGGTGCTTCTGATGCTGATGATGATAATTATTTACGCTTCGCGTATCCCCACCAGCCCATCTCAAAACAGCAACTCTTGCGAAGCATGCCGTCAGTCGTGTTTTTCAGGCGTGTTTCCGCCTGCCCCCGCATATCTCCCCTGTTCCTCCTTCCTCCCGCCTCCTTGTACATCCTCCTTGTGGTGGGAGCGGGAGAAGGACGAGGCGGAGGAGGAGGGAGAGAAAGCGCTCCTCGTGGTTTGAGTCGTTTGGGGTTTCTCGTCCTGGTGTGAGTCGTTCGGGCCCTTCTTCCTGGTGTGAATCGTTCGGGCTCTTCGTGATGTGAGTCGTTCGGGCTCTTCGTCCTGGTGTGAGTCGTTCGGGCTTCTCGTGGTGTGAGTTGTTCGGGCCCCTCGTCGTCGTGTGAGTCGTTCGGGCCCCTCCTCCTGGTGTGACTCGTTCGGGCTCCTCGTGGTGTGAGTCGTTCGGGGCCCTCGTCGTGGTGTGAGTCGTTTTGGGAGCCTCTTGGAGGCCTTTTGGGGCGTCTTCGGGGCCTCTTGGCGGCCCCAGGGGCTTCTAGGAGCGTCTTGGGTGCCTTGGGGGAGCCTCTTCGGGCCTCTTGGGAGCCTCTTGGAGGCCGTTTGGGGCGTCTTGGGGGCCTCTTGGCGGCTCCAGGGGCTTCCAGGAGCGTCTTGGGTGCCTCGGGGGAGCCTCTTGGGGCCTCTTGGGGGCCTCTTGGGGGCATCTTGGGGGCCTCTTGGAGGCCTCTTGGGGCCTCTTGGGACTCTCTGGGAGGGGTCTGGGAGGAATCTTGGGGCCATCTGTGGGGCGATCGATCACAGATGAGGCGAGCATTTTTCTGCCTCCCCCCGTCGGGGCCAGAATCCTCGTGAGGGGTGTCGAATTTTAGCCCTCCCAGGAGTCGAAAAAGACCCCTCCAACCACCCGCGGGGCGCCCTCTCCAGGCCCAGGGGGAGGGGGTAGGGGGAGGGGTAAACCCTTCCCCGAAGGGGAAGAAGGGGGGTTGAGAACAGAGCGGGCTCTCTAAACCACTCACGCCCAAAGGGCTGGTGGGATTCATGTGCCGGCAATGATGTCGATAATGAAGAAATATATGCCAATATGTTTATAATGGTGATTTTGTTGATGATTATAACTAATGATGATGAGGATGATGCTGATGATGATGATGATGATGATGATGATGATGATGATGATGATGATGATGATGATGATGAGTGTGACGACACCGATGGTGACGATTGAAAAGATGAGGATGCTGATGATGATGGTGATGATGGTGAATGTGGCGAAGATGATGAGGAATAATCATACCAGCTTTTAAAGAGCATTATACTTATGATGCTGATGATGCTGCTGCTGCTGATGCTGATGATGCTGCTGCTGCTGATGATGATGATGATGATGACGATAGGGTGGTGGATGAGGAGCATGCGTGGGGGGAACATTATCGCCCCATTTGAGGCAACGCGTCGTGCGAAGTCGCTTTTCGGCACCAGCGTCCTCTTGGGGTACGGCGCCCTCTTTCATGCCGCCTGGGCCTTCAAGGACTCCGTGCGGATCCCCGTAGACGAGATGCTGAGGGATCATGCCGACGTGTTCAAAGTTGGCCTGCACGTCCGGCACTCCGGCAACTGCCGTGCGGGCTGTCGCGAGAATGTGCGGGCTGCCCAGTGTGTGAAGAACATCCTTAGCGAGCGCACGTCCCAGAAGTGCGTGGTGCTCATTGCGACGGACCACCCAGAGTCAGAGGCCGATCTTGCTCAACAGGTGCAGTCAACACTGATGGGAGGGAGAGAGAACGCGTCGTTGGCTTCGGTCGAGCTGTTAAATCTTGAGCAGCTTGCCAAGCATATCGAAGACGCCTACGGCGAACCACCGCCGCCCCCTGCCTTTTTGGAAGCGCCTAAGTGGCCGAAGGTTGTGGCCAGAGGTCTGCCAAGCTATCGGACCACGTGTTCCCCGGATTGGTTTGGAAAGCCTTCGGGAAACATCTGGGCATCTTGAAGGTCATCTTGGCCGTCTGGAGGCCATTCTGACCCTTTCGGGCCTTCTTGGAGGACGTCTTGGAGGGCTCTTGGGCCGTCTTGGAGGCTATCTTGAGCGTCTTGGAGACCTCTTGGGCCGTCTTGGGGGCCTCTTGGGGCCGTGTCTTGGGCCTCTTGGGCGATCTTTGTGGGCAATTGGGCCGTCTCGGGCCGTCGGAAGGCCGGAAAAAAGCAAATGCCACAATCCTTCAAGAACCCATGGCAAATCAATGATGTTGGCCTTTTCGGGCCTTCTTGGAGTCCCTCTGGAGGCCTCTTGGGCCGTCTTGGGCCATCTTAGGGTCATATTCGGCCTTCTTGGTGGGCTCCTGGTCCGTCTGACGCCGTCGGAAGCCATTTGGGGGGCCTCTATGGGCCGACTTGGGGCCCTCTTGGAATGCTCCAGGGCCGTCTTGGAGGCCATCTTGGGCGTCTTAAAGGCCTCCTGTGCCGTCTTGGGGGCCGTCTTGGGGCCCTCTTGGGCCGTTCTGGGGCCATCTTGGAGGCCTCTTGGGCGATCTTTCGGCGATCTTTGGGGGCTCTTGGGCCGTCTCGGGCCGTCGGAAGGCCGAAAAGAAGCACATGTCAAAATCTGTCAAATACCTTAGGCAAATCCGTGTTTTTGGCCTCTTTGGCCTTCCTGGAGGCCTTCTTGGGGGCCTCTTGGGCCGTCTTGGGTCAGCTTTGAGCCAACTTCGACCATCCTGGTGGGTTCCTGGCACGTCTGACGCCGTCGGGAGCCGTCTTGGAGGCCTGTCTGGGCCGACTTGGGGCCCTCTTGGGGCGCTTCGGGGCCGTTTTGGAGGCCATCTTGGGCGTCTTGGAGGCCATCTTGGGCGTGTTGGAGGCCTCTTGGGCCGTCTTGCCCTCGTGGGGCCGTCTTGGAGGCCACTTGGGCCGCATGGGGCCCTCTTGGGGGCCTCTTGGGCGATCTTGGGGGCCGCTTGGGCCGTCTTGAGCCGTCGGAATGCCGAGAAGAAGCAAATCCCCAAATCCTTCAAAAGCCTAAGGAAAATTAATGATTTTGGCCTCTTCGGGCCCTCCTGGAGGACCTCTTGGAGGCCTCTTGGGCCGTCTTTGAGGCCTCTGGGGGGCCTCTTTGGCCGTCTTGGGCCGTCTTGGACTCTCTTGGGCCATCTTGGAGGCCGTCTTGGACCATCTTGGGCGGACTTGGAGGCCATCTTGGACCATCCTGGAGGCCATCTTGGGCCAACGTGGCCATCTTGGACGCCATCTTGAGCCGTCTAGGAGGATTTTCCGGGAATTGGGCGATCTACGGGTGGCTGGCGGGTCGGGCCGAAGCCCATTGGGGAGTTCTTTTGGAAAAAGCACCAAAACCAAAACCGAGAGGGTTCAGCACGCCAGGCACCCCTGTGATGAATCGACAGGGGGCGGCGGATCTAGTGGCCTTCGGCCCATCCCGCCACCGTGCTTGCGTTGTGGTTCAGAGGCCTCTTGGATGTTCGTTTGAATAACTACCGTGGGAGGCCTCTTGGGGGCGCCTTGGAAGCAGTTTTGAGGCCTCTTGGGGGCCGTTGGGGGGCCTGTTTGAGGCCTCGTGGGGCCTCTAGGGGGCCTCTTGGGTTCCCTTGGGGGCCTCTTGGAGCCTCCTGGAGGCCTCTTGGGGCGGAAGGCTCGAACTGTCGGTTCGTGTTCCCTCTCTTGGGCCCCTTTTGAGGCCGTCTTGGGGCCCTCTTGGGCGATCTTGGGCGCCTTTCATGCTGTTTTGAGGCTCTCTTGGACCGTCTTGGGACCCTCTTGGGGGCCTCTTGGGCCGTCTTGGGGCGGCCTTGGGGGCCTCTGAGGCCATCTTGGACCATCGGAAGCCCGAAAATGCGAGAACGCGGAAAACATAGAAACACACAAGGGAAATCCATGATTTTTGCCTCTGTGGGCCCTCCTGGGGGTTCTCTTTGAGCGCTCTTGGGGCTTCTTTGGGGCCTCTTGGGCCGTCTTGGGGCCATCTTGGGCTTCTTGGAGCGCTCTTGGGCTGTCTTGGAGGCCTCCTGGACCCTCTCGGGCGCTTTCTGGGGCCGTCTTGGCCCGTCTTGGGGCCGTCTTGCCTCTAGCAGAGTCACGCGGGGCAGCCCGGGAACGCGCGGGACCGCCCAGGAAATTGGGGAATCTGGGGCTCCAGCCCTTAGCGTACAATAATCCCAGTGTCCTGAGTACAGAGCACGGAGGACACATGGACCTTGGGAAAACTCCACTTCGCGCCTCGCGGCACGGTGGCGGATCGAGGCAGCCACCGGGTGCAAGGCCAGGAGCACGCTTGTCTCGCAAAAGGTGGTGCAGCCCGATTTCGCTGAGGAGCCCTCTCGTAGTCGTCGTCGTCGTCGTCGTCGTCGTCGTCGTCGTCGTCGTCGTCGTCGTCGTCGTCATCGTCGTCGTCGTCGTCGTCGTCGTCGTCGTCGTCGTCGTCGTCGTCGTCGTCGTCGTCGTCGTCGTCGTCGTCGTCGTCGACGGTCGTCGTCGTCCATGTCGTCGTTTCTGGAAAACCAGGTGAACCGCTAAAAGCCATGGATATTTGAGAAACGTGCAGAACCCAATGAACTCTCTTGAAGCCCCCCTCCCTCTCTCCCTCCTTGCCCTCCTCCCTCTCCCCCTCCCTTGGGGGTGCGCCAACTATTAACTACTGCGCCGATCCCATTCTCCCCTCTCGCCACAAGAACATTTTCCAACTGCATCGAATCTGGCCGCGGGAAGGAGGGGGAGGAAGAGGTAGGAAGGCGGAAGGAGGGGGATAAAGGGGGAGGATGGGGGAGGATGTGGAACAAAGGGCAGGAGGGGGGAGAAGGGGGAGGAATGGGATGCAAGGAGGAACGTATGGAAATAGGACAGGAGGTACGGTGAATTTGAGGAACGAAGGAAAAGGCAATGAAGACATGAGTAATGGAGGACAAGGGGGAAGGATAATGTTTTCAGATATTGACAGAAGGAAGCGAGGACATGATGGCATGGGGCAATAAGGAAGTTTTTTCTCGTGAGGACGCGAGGAAAGGAGGAAGCAGGGAAGAAATGCATGAGGAAATGAGGAAACCAACCAACGAAGACATGCGGGGCGGAGGAATTGAGGAACGGAGGACCGGGGAAATGATGAGGAGGGGAAGTGAAGGGCGGAGAGGATACGGAAACGAGGAAAGCAGGAACGGAGGAAAAGAGGAACGGATGAACGGTGGAAAGGAAGAAATGAGGAAATGTAGAAAGGAAGATATGAGGAATTGAGGGATGGAGGAGAGGATTCTTGACGCTTCGCTCGGGCTCGGCGTAAACTGGACAGCAGTTAGGGATAAGCACGTGAACTCCGTGCGCCACGACGCCCGTGCGCATGCCCCGCGCGACTACGGCAGCAGCGACAAGCCTGCCCCATGGGCAACCGAGGGCAGAGCTGTCGCTCCCGCGGCTGCACAGGACCGCTGGGCTGGAGCCATCGGTACAGCAACCCCCAGCCAGTGGCAGGGCTGGCAGGAATGGACCGCGTGGGATCGGCGTGAAGCCCCATGGACGGATTCAGATTGGAAAGGAAGGGGCAATCGGTACTCCCCTAGGGGGGACGACCGATACTCGGACAAGCGCGCCCGCTGGTGGGTAAAAGACGACTCCTACACCCAAGGCTGACTGTGCCGGACACGGCCCGCCTCAGCATCCCTGGTTTTCCTGCCCAAGGAAACTTGTCCTCGCCGCGCCCGGCTCAGGCCGTAATACCTGGGGGCAACCTCCGCTGGGGCGTAGGCTAGCCCCACATCTCGCCCACGGCGCGGCATAGCTAGACAGCCCACACTGAACAAGTGGACCTATCTTCCTTTTCGGGCCCGACGCGGAGGGTCTCCCCCCCCAGTGCCCGACATCTCACCCTCTCGGGCACGGCGCTGCCGGCCTGGCCCGGGCAGACAGGCCCCGGGCTCATGCACATTGCTGTCCGACGACGACAGCCAACCCGCCCGCCGGAGGCGGGGGGTCGGCCACTGGATCCCCCCCGCCTGCGCGGCGGCGGGCTCGATCTAGCCAGGTCACAGTTTTGAGAAGTACAGACTTCAGCGGCGGTCAGCTGCGACCCTGGAGGACCAACACCCACCATCTCCGCTGAGGTATCACTCTCCGCGGGGACGGACCAACATCCAGCGCAACCGGAGGTCCACGCAGGACCCCGCCCTCCCTCGGCTTTACTACCTTCGAAGGACCCACCCACCATTTCATTGTCTTGAGCGGCGATCAGCTGCGACCCTGGAGGAACCAATAACCATTTCCCCTGTCCCACGGGTGCGGGACCAGGCCGAGGGGAGGGGCGGCGTTCCCCCCGCCTCTCCCCTCTGGGGCCAGGCGGGTGTCCCCCGCTCTTGCCACGGGGCCCGCCAGGCGCACTGTCCGACGTCGGTGTTGTGGCCCCCCCTCCCTAGGCCGCCCGTGTCCATCGATGTGCGTGGTTTGTCTCATCACTCTCAGCGGCGGTTAGCTGCGACCCTGGAGGGCCACGTGGTGTTCGTTGACGTTCCGGGAGCTTGGGCGGAAGTGCCAGCTGCGGGCTGGGTCTGACTTTGCGTCCGATGGCCCTCGTGTCTACCGCCGTGCAGCTCCCCCCAGGCGCATCGCCCTATGACATCGGCACGCCCCGCTCGCCCTGGCGCCACGTGCCCCGTGAGGTACAGTTCGACCTTTCTCGCCGTCAGGGCACGACCACCACCAGTGCAGCTCCCCCTACTCTTCCTCGCTGGCGATGCTGACCACGCCAGCGGTTTCCCCCCCAAACTCAGTGGCCCCGCCTTGCCGGCACGCGCTGCGTGGCCCACAGACGCTCGGTTCCCCCTTGCGCTGTGCGGTGGTCCGACAGGGGCTGGCTCTGGTGCACAGTGGTACAGCCTTCCGCAGCAGGTACAGTGTTACGGGCCCACCTTCAGCTTCCCCAGGTGCGTTGCACCACGGCTCACGACTGCTCAGCCTTTCTGGCTAGCTCAAGTCGTCAGGGCGTTTGGAGCCTGGCGCCCCGCTGGCGACTCACTCCAATGGCCTCTTACTTGCCACCGCCCAGCATGACGGACTCCACCATCGTGGTCCACGTCTCTACTGTATGGGTGGCGCCATGGCAAGCACTGAATTCCGAGACACTTTGTCCTGTGCGCGTGCTCGAGCTTGCAGGGCGCCGTCCGCCGTCAGCTCCTCCTCTTCAGCTTCGCGGCTGCTGTCTGAGTGGGCCGGCCGGCTTGCGCCTGTCTCAGCTAATTCGCTTAGCTCGCGTCCCGGACTTGGCTCTTGCCGCCTGACCGCCTCGCGGCCGCGACCGAGAAAGTATCCCCACGAGCCCATTCGGCGCATCTTGAATTCACCGGCATTTTGCCGTGCTGCAAGTGCGCGAGCTTCTTGGGCGCCCTCAGCTTGCCGCCCCCCCCGCGCAGTCAGCCGCTGCTGGATGAGTGGGCCGGGCGGTTCGCGGCGCGTTTAGCTGCTAATTAGGCCGCTGTCGTGACCCGTAGCGCTTCTGACTCCGCTAGCGCCTTCGCTGGTGGGCGCGACCGAAAAAGTATCCCCACCAGTGTGGTGCTCCCGCGCCATTTCGGCCGCGCTGCAGCTTCGGGTGCTCAATTCACTCGCGTTCGTGCGTTCCGCTGCTGTTGGACCTTCTGGCCTCGGCCACCCTGGCACTCCGCAGCTGGCTGATGCTCATGCCCCCACTGGGCACACAATTCGGCCTTTGGCAGTCGGTTCACTTGGCTGCGGCCACCCTGGCACTTCCGCAGTTCTACGGGTGCCTACGCCCTTGCACTTGATTTCCTCGCAGCTTGCAGTCCCCGAAGTGTTTGCGCGAGACATGGCTTGCGCGAGACATGGCTCTCGTAGTGATCGATGCGCCCCGTCGCTGTGCAGATCCCGCGGGCGTGCGCGACGACGGGGAAATCGAGCGCGTGTTCCGCGATTGTTCTGGCCACGGCGCGCAAAAGCGCTGCGAGGAGATGTGGGTGGGCGTGCGAGCTCTGGATGCTGCGTCCCTCGTGGGCCCGGCTGCCTCCCCCTTATGACGGGGATTCAAATCCGGCTCTATCCTGCCCTTGGGGGCTGCCATGCAAGATGTGCTGGATATCTTCGGAACAGAATGCGGCGTCTATGCTCCCGTTCGATCGGTGGCTGCGCGGGAGAACGTGGGCGGGGCAATCGGGAGGCATGGCATCTGGTGAGATGGTATCGTGGTGATAGGGATTTCCTGAATTGGAGACGCATTCTATGACGGAACATGGCGCCGCCGCGTCGTCGGCTGGTAATTCGGCCGTGCCTTCGCCGCTTCCGCCGGGGTCGGGTGCGGTGGGGCCTGTTGGTTTGAAGCCGAGCTCGGAGTCTGGGCGCGGTTGGTAGAAGAAAAAGACGGCGCCCGACATCGCGCGATCCGGTGACCCCTCTAAGGGGAGCAGAAGGAAAGGATCGGCAGCGGCGGGCATCGTGGCGGACATGATGGCGCCCCGGCCGGAAAATATCAGTCCTATGGCAAGGGGGGGGGGGGGGCTTGGTGGAAGTGAGGTCGGAGGCAAGGGGGGTTGGAGCGCTTCCTCATCCAACTGACGCTGCGGCCGCGATGACGGTGCGAGTCGCTGGAAAGATGTCGGTGCGTGGTGGGGCAAAGTAGTGAGGTTGGCAGCGCCGGCGGCGGCGACTGGAGCTCGGGGGGCAGGCGCGTGCGAGACAGTTCATGGAATGGCGCGTCTGAGAAGTCATCGTGGAAGAAGCATTCCGAGAAGAAATGTGACAATAACGACAATGACGGTTGGAATTGGTAAGCGAGGTCGAAGCGAGCCGTGGGGTGACGTGGTCGGCCGAACTATCAGCGCTGGGACGCCCCGCGGGCCTGGCGAACCAAGTTGGGGTCTGCGCAGCGATCGAGCCTGCCCCTCTGCAGCAGGACTAGGCACTGCGTGGCTAGAAAGCGTTGTAGAGTACTCTGGGGGTTGTTGCCTCCTGGCGCGGCGTGCTGACGGCTGGCGCTTGGGGTGAAGATGTGCCGCGAGGGGAGTCGTTGCCTGTGGCTCCTTCCTGCCTTCCTGAAATCCGCCAGCCGCCTGCCGTTGGGTGCGTTTGGTTCAAATACTTAGCAGGGGCGCATGCAGCTGAAAAATGGAGCGGCTGGCGCCGCTATGCCGTCCGTCGCATTATAACCGCATCATCCCGGAGATCTTCGTGCAAGGGATGAGGATGGGGAGACTGCCCATGTGCCAGGTTATAATGCCCACTCGATCGAGTGCATTCATTCTCGGGCCGCTCCGTAAATCTAGGTCGGACAATTGTTTTCGAAACTGAGGCTCGCTTCGGATTTTCGTTTGTTTTTGCAG